TTTAGCCGGGAAATTGAAATAAAACACTTTACAACAATTTCATGGTAAAAAAAGAACGATGAAAATGTTTTTGACGCTTTTTTTATGTACGAAATCCTGATGGTTATCTCGCGTAATAAACCTACCCCTATCATCCGAACCACATTTTTCCCCATCATCCGAACCACATTTTTCACTGTCAGCATTGCTTCTACTTCACGACCGTGACCCAAAGCGAATATATCAAAAACAACCAATAACTAAGCCGATTTACAGCAACTGATAGCGATCACTTAACCCTGAATCCCAAGATCTTATCGTCAACTCTCCCCTCTGGCTACTATACATTTTCTTGTAAATCAGTAACAAGAATTTGGTGTTAGATCAAGATTACAACTTCTACCTGATAAGTCTGAGTATTCTCATTACCTGTTTACTAGATGATCTGCGGATATTTTAGGGAGAGGTTACATGTTAATCACTTGTGAGCCGAGTTAATTTAAAAGGATTAATATATAAATAACTTAAATTTTAACGAAATAGTAATCTCACAAACCATTTTGTTTTTCATTTTACTTTGCTGAGCCAGTTTGTTGAGCCAGCTGGCGTTGACACAACCGCATTCGATCAAAACAATAGTTTCAATTTTTTTTTTCGGTTTTTGAACCGTAAGAAAGTTCAACTTGAGCCCAGCTAATCAGCTGAAGGAACTCTTTAATCTGTATGTGAATCGCTTTTCATGAAATGGCATTGAATTGTTCACGGTATATCGATGGACGACGTCGTGCTGCTGAGGTTGAATGTGATCATACAGTTGATTCAAGAATTCATCAGATTCTTCTCGGCCTGTGAGTCCGGTTCATCCTAGGGCTGATGTATTGACGACATAACACACCTGGAAATCTCTCTCAACCTATCTGGAACATTTTGGGTGAAACAGCTTTGGCTTCGCGCTCAAACCACTAAGTACCCTTTTTGTTGGTTCCTTAAGGCGGTCGTCACCTTTCATGGGTCTGAAGTCCTTTAGTCTCATTCCGTGTCGTTCTTGCTTTCCACGGAGACCAAATTGTCGTGCAAGGACTCACTACATTTTAGAAATCAGGGATTCGAGGTTTTTACCACCAAGTTTCTCGCTTCTGCAGAGCAGTTTTTCTTTTGCTCCACAGGCACTAGCTTCGGCCAACCTAGCGAAGCTGTTTGTTTGTTTGTTTGTTTTTTCATTTGTTTACACACAAAAAACTCACAGCTCCTTGCTTACGCTGGTAAGAAAAGAAGCATTTTAAAAACTACGATTATATTTCTGCATATCTCAATGATTTTATTGAGCTGTCCACAGTTTTTCATCTCGTCTGAAATTAGTTTGGCTCGGAAACGTGTTTCTCCCCTTCTTCGGCTTGCTACCGCGCCTCCTTGCGGACTTTTGGTAACTCCGCAGCGCTTGAATTGCTGGCTCTCCATTCTCCTGAAAAATCTTCAATGTTTTGTTTTCTTTCACAGTGGCAGGAGCCTCTATGTCGTTTCACACGTCCTGAATCTCCACAATCATCGCCTATCTCAACCACTTCTGGAGTGGGAGGGTCAGATAATGGTCTCAATCTCCGATTGATCTTCCTGAGATTACTCGGTCGTGCGTCTGATCGTTGAGTTCCCTCTTTGTTTAACTCATTCAGGCCTCAGGCTTGACGATTGGACCATTGCTCCTCATAAATCAGCTCTCTTCCACTAATATTTTGAGCACCCGAATCACCTTTCAGGCTACTGAAGAACAGAAGCTCCACTGCATTTCTTTGCGTGCTTGTATTTGCTTGTCCTGATAAGCTTCCATCAGTTTGGACTCCATGGCCATGATTTTCTTCAAGATTCTCCCCAGTTTTCATGCGCACTTGAGTCATGCCATGACTTTCTGGCTTGTCTCTGTAGTCACTTGATCCGAAAGGGTGTTTCAGGAAGTGCTTGAAAGCCGAGCGGCAGCGACTTAATCGCGTATAGTATATGATAGGATTGACTGTGTTGGAGAGCCCGTATAGTATATGATAGGATTGACTGTGTTGGAGAGCCCGTAGCTGTAATGGGCTACACAGGAAAGCCAGTGATTAGTCGTAACACTGTTGTCAATAAGATTAACAATTGAAAACACACCCATGGGAATAAAGCAGAAGGAGAAGGCAGCCATTGTTATGACGATGGTTTTGGTCGCTTTTACATCCTTTTTCAGTTGAGCCTCGGCCTGAAGAGCAGCTAAGTTCATTTCTTCTCTCTGCAAATAATTAGAGATTATATGTACTAGAGTACTAATTTCTCGGAACAACGTGCTTGTTGAGATATTCAGGACATAGTTACGTAGTTTGTTTTCAATTCATAACACAGGAGTCGCTCATCTTTTCAGAAATAACAAATCATCTGCAAGATTACCTTACGGTCAACTATTTTTATACTCAACCTTACTCATCTGATATATCCACTTAAGAAGCATAGGATAAATTGCAGGTACTATGTACCTTCATCATCTATGAAATTTTGGGTTTTGGTCAAGGATGAAGTTTTATCGTCATTTGCATATTGGTAATATAATGTACGGATGATGAGAGTAAAACTGAGGATTATGGCAACGGGAAAATGATTATGAAGATGATGGTGATAATAAAAGTGAAAATGAATAATCAGGTGAGTTCGAGATATAATTTAAGCCTATCTTAATTTATGTTTCTTGTGACAAGATCATTTTAACAAAATAAAACCACTACCTTGATTTTCTTGCTCTTTATTACACGAGCTGTCAGGAAACATACAATTGCACCACAGATGATGAAGAACAATGTGCCTGTAGCCACGAAATATCTCGCTTTCCTAAAGATCTTCACTCTGTATTCAGTAATATGGGCATCGCCAAGGTCGATTTGGTGTAAAGGCAATGCGAACAGGATCACAATCAAAATACAGATGAACCAGATGAGAAACACACAGACTAAGGCTTTTGTCTTCGTCTTCCAGGCGAGATACCTCAAACCTAGAGAAATGGCCAGACACATGTTTGTCATCATGGAGAGCATGGAGACAAGTTTCAACATCAAAAAGGGGCGATTGAGACTACAATTAATGACTGCCAGGGTCCATCCTCTAAACCAACTGGCCTTCCATACGATGCCAACCATGAAGAGCGTCGAGTTAGTAGCTGCGCTGAGAACATCCACGAGAGCAAGATTAGCGACGAGTATATTCTGCACTGTTCGTAGCGATTTAAATCGAGCAATGACAGCAAGAACCAAACCATTGACTAGCACAGAAACCAATGCAAGAAGACTTGCTGACACAGTGATAAGAACATCGGTCAAAAATGAATCTGCTGGGTGCATTTTGACTGACCTGCAACCTACGTAGAATGTACGTACGATGCCATATGGTGACGAGATTTTACGCTCACTGCAAAATGAACATGTGCAATTATCTAAAGAAACTTCATCTCCTGTTAGAATAATTAAAGTAAAAAAGAACAGGAACTGCTTCAATAATTAGCTGATCTCTTCTGGATCGTTTTTTCCTTCAACGCCTTTCTCACCGAAGCTTATTTAGTGATATATTTCATTCACATCTAATGCTTATATCTTTACTAACATTTTATTACCAATATTGTAGTCACTCTTATTAATTTCAACTCAATAGGCCGAAACACAAAACAAAACGAAAAACGTCTTTGGTCTTGTCTAATTATTTTGATAATTTATCCTAAACAAATTTTTGCACAAAGATGACGAGTGCCTCTCACGTAAAGATGAGTGAGCCTAGAAGTAACTTTATCTCAGCCGAGATATCAATAATGATATCAATAATTATTTTGAAATTTGAAAATCGAAAGTTTTCAAATTTTTAATGGCGTAGCGCAAAGAATACTTCCTCGCATTAAAAGACGACGAACGCCTCCTACGTAATGATGAGTAATGACGGGTAATGATAAGTGATCCTGGAAGTAACTTCATCTTATGCCAAGATATCAATAATGAACGCGCGTATTTTTATTTTGAAATTTGAAAAACGAAAGTTTTCAAATTTTTTAATGACGTAGCGCAATGAACACTTCCTCACGTTAAAAGACAACGAATGCCTCCTACGTAATGATGAGTAATGATGAGTGATCCTAGAAGTAACTTTCTTCCGAGCCAAGATATTAATAATGAATGCTCGTATTTTTATTTTGAATTTGAAAAATAAAAGTTTTCAATTTTTTACAATCTCGAATCACTATTTAGGCGCAGACAGCATTTCATATTACGTCTCTTTTAGAAAAGAGAACTATGAAAAAAAAGGTTTTAATGGCATAGCGCAATGAACACTTCCTCGGTTTGATAACAAAAGGCACTTTCTGTTAATAACATGAGAATATTACTTTGCTCATTAACTCGGTGATTTAAAAAAAAATCTTAAGCAATTTTGTGCTGTAAAAGAAAGTTACTAACTACAAACCAACGTTTTTGCTTCAATCTGGCCATCAAACCCGAATGAATATAATCGGTCCATTTCGGCAACCATGGTAACTAAATCATAACGTTAAAAACAAATCAAAAAGCTGTGATTCCAGCGACCGTTTGTGATTGGGGTAACGTACTTAACAATGGCACAGAATTTGCTAAATAAACTACAAAAAAATCACTTCCACTCGATAAATAACATCTATTCATTGTCCAAAGGAAGAATGCAGTGAATGGAGCGAGACCATCGGGTGTAATGCACAATTCTAAGACCTCATTTGATCTTTCCTCTCAAAAAAAGGAAGCAACTGAAATCAACAAACAGGCTCTTTCCGCTTTTTACGTCCTAGGATTAAAAAAAGCGTTTATGAAGGTTTCCCGCGTCACTACTATCTCCTAGAAATCCACACTAGGCTGGGCCGCATATTTTTAAGAAACCAAAATGCCTGTTTGTCCACCAAGTCTTAGACTTAATCCGTAATTTTCTCCTCAAATTCACTCAGATGAAGTTTTGTGGCCGTATATTGACTTTGTGAAGAAGATATAATATACACCAGACACCATCACTTCCCTTTTATTTCGAACCTGCTGAAATACTAAGAAGCACATGCAGTTTTTGTCGCAAGCATTATCTGCTGAGAGATCTTAGCGCTTCGACAAATTTCTACAAACACTGTTTACACATCTGTACACATATTGAGAAAATATATATCCTATTAGTTATTGTTTGGTTTTAATGCTGATTTTCACTTCGAATCCAGGCTGAATGTTGAATTTTATGACTGACTTTTCTGAAGAAAACGACCAAAATTTCGCCACAAAACATCTAAGCAGATGCATTGACAGAGGGTTCCCTATACTTTTAACGTGAAGCGTGATTGGGCGATTGGTTTTTCTTGTGAATCGTGATTTGACTTTTTTTTTAATTCGTGATTGAAGATGAGATCTTTTTATGTCCGCGTGAACGAATTTGTTTTATTTAAACGTGACCCGTGCACTAAGAGTTGAGTTAAACGTGATTCGTGAACCATTATGTTTTGCGTGATGAATTTCCGGCTACTTTGTTGTTTTGGAAATGTATGTATCGTTCTCGAACGGCTGTGGTTAGGTTCTGATTGGGATTTTCACAGGAGTTGGACTTGATATAGATCGATAAAAGTCATATAACAGACCACTTATGGTTCTTACACAAAAAAAATAAGACATCACGCTATCTTTCGTCGCGTAAGACTTGTCAAGACTAAAACTTGAAAAGTAGAAATGTTAATTCAACATGATTGTCTCGAATTTTGCGTGGACGTGAAAGAGTTTTGGATATTGTAAGTGATACAAGAAAAGGCCAAATACTTTACGTGACTGTATTTTGCAAATGGGTATAGGGAACCTGTCACTGTCATTAACCTCATCATCTTTGACGATTCAGACAACCACAATCCCAAAGGCCGTATAATCCTTTCTCAGTCCTTCGACTTCCATGAGTGACCAAGAGAGAATTTCTCCTTACAATATCAATAGAATATAAAGCAGCAAGTGATGAGAATAAAGAAAAATGTCAAATAGGGGATTATTAGTTGTTCCAGCTCCAAATTCTCTGAACTTATATCATAAGAATTGTATGGCAGACTAATAAGTTATTGGGAGCGAAAGAACTCAGTTATTGATCGCATTCAAGCTCATTAGGTAAAAGGCAAAGCTGTATTCCTAACAAAATGAAGTGAGGGCAACATTTAACGTAACTAGAAAAGACTGGTAATCCTGGTTATTAAAAAATCATTTAACTTGTAATTTTCAAAGCATGACCTATGGTCAAAAACTCCATAGTGCAGTTTGAAACTGAAACACTAAAAGGCCATATGTCCTTGGAATTCCGTAACATGTCAAGTATCAGACAAGTAGTGCTCACAATATAAGGGGTCAAATTACCCCTAACTATACCTTACTTAGATAGCTATTTGTGCCATCCTTATGCAAAATTTTGTCTAACAAAACTTATAAGCGGAGCTCGCCACGAGCGCAGCGAAGTTCTATACTCATGAAAGTACGGCAGTGATCATCATATATGCCAAGACGCCTAAAAATGTACGCAATAGCGCAACGCCAGCAATGTATGTATTGATCACTAGTGTCCCTTATTTGGAAATAATCTGGCCACTGAAACTATTATCCGATTATCTGTTTAATTTTCGAGTTTCGCGAAACAAACGATTCGTGTGTAATCATGGCCAGATGTATGAAAATTCACTGATTTCCATCTTAATCGTCAAGCCCGTATGCAACCGTCTACGCAAATGTAAAACTCTCCATAAGGCATCCAAGGAAATTCTGCCTTAGTTAAAACTAAAAAAAACTCGCAAGATATCTTAGATATAACTAATTAGTTTTGCATTGCGTTATGTTTAATAATATTTGCATTTTCTCGGTTCGCAGTAGCAATGTATTAGCGATTTTCAAGATTATAGCGGTGTTACGATGTGGAAGAAGGATATAACGGGATTGGTTATGCTCCTCGAACGATAAGGACGCCATTATGGTTGTTAAAAGCTGTTACGAAAATGTTACAAAACTTAGGACGTTGATGGGTTAGGATACATTTAACATAAAATACGTCATTATGATCGTGTCTTCATACGTAACCTTTACCTTCCCGCCTTGACAACAAGATAGTCACAGACAAAACCAAATCAGTAAGAATGATTATTTTTGAGTTTGTCAACCGTAATTAGTGTTTCCATTAAAACAAGCCTGAGCGATCAGAATGTTGTGTCGCTGGTAAAAAACCAAGTTTAAGCTTAGTCCTCAAAGGCTGGGTTCAATAACAGATGGTAAAATATCAGGAACATTCTTTATCTTGAAGTCTAGAAGCATCTGACCAAGAGCTTTTCCCTGCAAATGAAAAAAAAAAAACAAACAAAACAAAACAAAAAATCAAAACAAAACAAAACTCGTCCTCTCGTAACAATTCAGGATAATACCCAGCGAGCACTTTGACACGAGTTCTTAGCAATTGATCCTTTAGCTTAAATTGTTCAACCATGGTTCAACAATGATGGACGATATGATACTTTACAAAATGCAAACCCGGAATTCGAGAAATACAGAGTAAAAGTAAAGAGATTAACTGACAGAAGAGCCGTTCAAAGGGCACAGCTGAGTTTCGTTACACAAGAAGTAACAGATGCCGAGGGTTTTTGGTCACAAGACCTGCTTTACTTGCTGCACATATGTGTTGTGCGTCCCAAGCCTCCTCACCTGTGGGTCGCTTCGTAATGATGCCACCCCACCGCCTCCTAAAGCATTTTCTAAGACAAAGTTAAATGCGTTGATCCCTGGAAGTTCATATCTGCAATAAGAAAATGCAGGTTTATTTACATGTGACTTTGCAATTTGTAAGGAAGGCATAGGACGAATAATACATTCTGCGTACAGATGTAACTTAATCAACAATGAATTAAGCATAAAACCAAGTTTCCACACAATGTAATCCACCTACATCAGCTTCCCATTCCTTAACTCTTGTTTGTTGGGGCATTATACAAAACCAAAGCATTACCGTAACAGAGATTTTTCTTGCAATGTCAGAATAAGTTGTCTTGCGCCTCTTTTAGGTCAATTGAAATTAAGTGAGATATCCCAAATGCAATCAATACTATTAAGTGTCGCAGCACCTTGAAAAGAGCTTTTCAGTGACAAACAAAATCTTCGAGATGTTCCATGATCAATACAAGGGACTTACATTGTATCTCCCAACACTGGTTCCTCGATTTGTTTTGGTAAAAGCCTCGCCGGTTGCGAGGAAACTGGATTTTATTCTAACATTCCACAGAGTCGCTCTTAAATAAAAAAATTGCTCTTCCAGCAATTAGTCAACTTTCCACGAAAAGTGTTATGTCCATCTATCCATGGTCGTACTCCAAGTGCAAACTTGTCGTAACAGAAGCTACTAGTATCTTGCAGATAAACAATTTTCAAAGTCGTCTTTGTTAAACATAAGCTTTTCTATGTGGAATTTGTCCAAGCTAGTTTTTTGTGACAACTAACCCCAAACATCAGATGCCCTTTTCTTGGTTGGATGTATAAATAAAACCTGTGCCTAAGTGCAAAGACAACAAATTTTCCTATTTCCTTTCCTTATAATTTCCCCCTCATGCTCACCTTTTAACTTTACAATGCACTTCCTCTGGAGGAGTAGGAAACAAGTGCCTAAAATACTTCTCGACACTTTCCTCGGTCAGTGCCGCTCGTATGAAGGGAACATAGGAAGGGTGGCGAGCAATTACACCTGAAAAAGATTCAATAGGTTTCAAAACAGAAAGCTTTCCAGGCGCGTAGCGTCCTATACGCATATACGCACGTGCGTACTTGAAGTGACCAGAAAATTTTGAAAACAATGTTGTGTTTGCGCCAAGATTGCTCAAAATAAGGGCGAGACGCTTTGTTCTTTGCTTGCATTCAAACAACTATTTCGAACAAGAAATAAAGAACGCGGTATTTTTCGCTCGGTTTACTTAGGCTTCTAGATCATATGTAATTGTGCGTACTTGAAAAAATGACCACGCTACGCGCCTGCTTTCCACAATGTTCATGTTTCTAACTCCATTTTATATTTTCCGGGCTTTGCATGTTTGAAAGAGTTGCAAAATTCCGCGACCAATGAGATTAAAGAGTAGAAATTAAGTTCCCGGTACAATTTGATGAAACTCTCAATTTAGAAGAAGAAATAAACGAGTTGGCGCAATAGGGATATACACTTTACCTATATTGACGTTGTTTCCTTTATCACCACTCCTCGTCAGTGCTAAAGAGCTAAGTGGAAATGTACAACGGCCCTTAAGCATTCCTTTAGGGGATGGACACAAAAACAGTGTTATGACTGCGCCAACTTCATATTTCGATAGCAGACTAATAGTAATTCCATCATTCGTCTAACCACATGATCTATACACGGAAAATAAATCCACAGAAATGAAATCCAGTTTTCACTGGATCGTAAGCGACGCAGTCGTAGGCAGCATTTATATTTCTCTTTCGATTCCGTTTTGTTTGGTTTTCACCAGATCGAATCGCTTTATGATTTTGATAACGAATCCGACTCCGTCGAAAGTGATAATCCGCGTTTAAATTCAAATAATTTCTCAAACTTACGAATTTTTGGCATCGCATCATGTGATGGTAACTCTCTGTCACGTTCTGTCTCTGGCTCATCTTGTACTGAGGGAGACACTGTTTCCACATGCTCACCATTCATAAAGATATCAACCTGAAGCATATGAATGTAAATCAAATCTGAAAAGATCAATTCTTAGAGCAATTGTCGACGATTTCTTTGATGTTTCTTTGTATTACATCATTGAAATCCTAGTCATCCTTGCTATCTGATTGGCTCTCAGCAATGCGATTTATTCACGAATCGCACAATTTTTGTTCTATATCGAATCTTTTTCCTAGCCAATGAGAAGTCAACGCTAAAACAAAACAAACAGTCACATTCTAGAGTTGTTTAAAATTACCCCTCAAATTGCAGGAAAACCGAGACAAAAAAAGTCAGTTGGAATCGTTCACTTTGGTCATTTTGTTGTTCCACTTTCCGTCCTTTATTTGTCCAGTTCTACAGTGCAATACCGTGGCATATTTTGCGCGTTTCGATGCCCTTTTAAGGTAAAATGGCGTGATTGTGGAAAACTACTTTCCTACCTTAACCTTGTCTTTAGGATACAAGAAAGAATACAGTCTCAGCAACGGAGAGCTAAACAAGAAAAAAGAATTTTTTCGTGGACAGGTCGAAGACAAAACAAAACATTTGTAGAATCGGATGTAGCTAAAAAAAAAAAAAAATTAAATCTTACGCTCTAGGTCTTCCTCCAACGATGGCAGTCAATCCAGGGGCTATAAAAGAATAAGATTGTTGAAAAAGAAAAAGCTAAGTAGGAGTTAATCAGCATACAAAGTACTTTCTTGGGATGCAAACGGTTACAGAACAAATTCTTTAAGGCCCAGCATAAGTGAATTAGGTTCGACTTACGTCCATATTAATTTCCAATTTTTTGGGATAGTTTTGCATACAAGTGCAGCAACTACGATGAATACTGAAAGTTAAGCTCTACTTGGGTTTTCCCTCTTCCATATTTTCTAAACTAAACCTAGTAATTGGTGTTGCAATGTTGACAGCGAAGATACTCAAACTCACCCATACTAGTTCCAGCAGAAGCAACTTCCAACGCAAACAATTCCACGGCCTTCTTCTGCTGGTGGTGAACTGCCAGCCATAAAACCGCTTCCCTGGGATTCTTCGATAAAAAAAAAAAAAAAACAGTGTGAAATTGTCAATTCGTTTCAAAATTGTGCTGCGAGTTTGCTGCTTCTTCTGGTAGTTTTATTCAAATTGAAGTTTCTGTAAGCAGAAAACCTGCGCAAGGACAAGACACCTTCATAACTTATGCTGGTCGCTTGGATAAACGTGCATTTTTAGGCAGAGAGATCATACATTTATGTGAGTTTTTGTGTACACTCCTATCACCCCACTCAGATGTACTCGCCTAACTCCCTTTCCAGACCAGCCCAAATTGTTTCTCTTAGATTCACATAGGTTATTTTGCATGCCTCAAGACTTTCCAAAAATGTGTCTTACACCATTTCTATTACGTACCGCTGTCATGATCCCTGGAAAGGCATGTTTTCCATAGGTCTCCTCTGAGCCCAAAACCTGACACATAATTGTGTATGGCAGTAATGAAGGTGTTGTTCAAATATATTGACTAAAAACAGAACTTAAACGACACAGCAACATGTGATATCGATGTCACAGCAGCCCAAATTTAGCACTCTTACCTGAATATGAGTTCGTGTGTAGTCACCCAGCTTTAATTGTTCAAACATTCTTCTTGTCCTTTGAAAATTTTGCAAAAGCAATTAGATAGTGATGATTTCCAGATGAAGCACGAGGGTCATTAAGCGCTTTTGATTGACCGTCGTAAAAAACCAAAACCAAAGAAATTACAACGGCCAATCAGAAGAAAGGAAAATACTCTAAGAGCCAATGAGAGCTTAAATTAAAAAAAAGGCAAACCGCCTGAAGCGCGGGAAAACGTGGGCGTCCAGGCCGTGATTGGTTTTGCATTTGATTGGTCAAGAGAATGGTACAAGTTTTCTGGACCAATCACAGAACGAAGTAAAGCAAAACCAATGCAATCCCGGAATACTTGAAACTCAGTTGAAAATTTTTCTAAGAGGAAACAATCATTTATATAAAGACATTGAACGTGATAAATCTTTTGCATCATGCATACTTTCCTAAGGCAAATCATATTCATGTATAAGTCAAAAGGAGATAGTTTGCAGACAAAACTAGTGACTCAAATTACTAGGGTCAGGTTGTTCAAAACAAGATAATCTTTAGCCCAGTAAGCTAACAATGCAGTAGGATACCGTCTCGACTCAGTGGCCGTCAACAAATCCTTACCGTTTCAAGAGGGCTTCGCCAGTTTTCTTAGCTTTAAGTGAAGCAAACGGCCCTCCAACAGGGCAAACAGCGGTGGCACGAAAACCGTCTGTATACGTTGCACACACCTGTTACAAAACATAAATTATGGACATTTGCCCGAGACAAAATTAAAAAAAACCCGGAATGGAGAAAAGACACCAAGACTACCCAATATTAAAGGGAACTGGGTCAGTGGCAAATTGCTCACAATTTCTGCAATTTTATTTGTGACGTCAAAGACTTCTTTGTTTAACAAATATCATGATGGGTTTTAAAAATGAGGAGTTGTTACTTTACCCACGTCGGGCTTCTACGACTCATTGGTCCTCATTGGAAGAAACCATACGCTGTATAAAAAATAATTTGGTTTCATCAACTGAGTTGATAAATAAACGTACATTGGCCACAATGTATAAAGAGTTCTTAAATCTTTATGGTGTCCAATTTACATTTATTTATCAACTCAGTTGATAAAACCAAATTACAGTACTGCTCAAAAGTAGGTTGACAGTATTGACTCGAAACTCAATCCTTGAAATCAAGGCTTGAGGATCAAGGCTTGAGGATCGACAATCAAGAATCAAGAATCATGGATTAAAAATCAAGGCACTTGTAGAACTTTTTGGGGATCACATCCATAGTTTTGAGGTGACGATTTCATTCTCACATGCATGAAAATAGCTATGGACAAAGCACTTGAAACTTACTCCTTTTATTTCACTAACTCAAAAATACCTTGTACGAATCTGAGGCTGGTTTGCCACCTGCACCCTGAACAAGAACTGCTCCACCATCATAACCTAATCCAGAAGGAAAGTTCAATTACTTCAACTCCTAATTGGCTCTTTCCATCCAAACATTTCAGAAATTTCTTCCATTTCATTCACAGCAAAAAGCAGTCAAACAAACTGGAAACAATCATCACAGACAACTAATTGCTCCACCAGAAATTGAGCAAATCACCTACTTATAATTGGTTGGAATGTAACAAGTCAAAACATATTTTGTTAAATAAATGCTAGAGAGGTAGACAAAGGGATTTACCCTCAAGCACATGGAAATAAAAATAGGACATGATGTATCTTCAAGACAATGAGCTCCATAAATTAACAAATCTGAAGGGTACAATGCACACTTGCAGAGGGACATCAATGTTGACCAGGGAAAAATTCTACCAATGAAAATTGTGAACTACATTGTATCCCTAAAGTAACCAATGTAATATGTAGATTTGTCTAGTATACAGCAAACATTAAAAACAAGGTTAGTCTAGAAATGAATCAGCAGGGGATATTGAGATTCTGCATCTACATCACTCACCAATTAGTCCTTGAAGTCTGACTTGCGTAAAGTCACAAGTCACATCTGGGAGAATGTATTGGGCTGGGTCTCCAAGCTCATAAACCAGCTGGTGGAAAAAGAAAAAGAGATTTCCTACTTAAACCCCATGGCATCCCAAGATATGATTGTCACTTCTCCCCTCTAGCTGTTAAATATTTCCTTGTAACTGGTTATAAGAATACTGGTGTTAGATCTACCTGATTAGTTTGAGTATTCTCATTACCTGTTTGCTGGATAATGTATGGATATTATAAGAAGTTACATGTTGATCACTACTGGGATTAGGCACAAACTAGAGCATTTGGAAATCTTGGCAAATCTTAAATAGTAATAATAATTATAATAATAATAATAATAATAATAATAATAATGCAGGATAATAATCAGGATGCAGTGCGCTGGCCCAGAGCAAGTATCTCTCTAGACATGATGCAGCACTGAAGGTACTGTTTTACCAACTGTTGTATGATGAGGGATTTATAGACAAGATACCACCCTGGTACTCACCCGAAAAGCCGAAGCCCATGTATGAGTCAGAGAATGTTAAAGCTTATTGGGATGTCCCTATATATGCTGATCAACAAGAGGTCAGATGCAATAGGGTGGATGCACGCATTGTAAATCATATGTGCAAGAGAGTTGTGACGCTGGAAATGAGCTGCCCGTGGGTTAACAATCGGACAAGAAAGGATGAAGAGAAGACACTGAAGTACAGACCCCTTCACTGGGAACTAAGGCAGCAGTTCCCAGGTTACGGGGTGAAGCAATATAACATCATTGTGGATGCCCTTGGGGGGTGGTCACGGGAGCTGGATGTCATGATGCGCGAGCTGGTGGGAGGCAGAAGCACAGACGTACTGCGAAAGATGCAGAGGGCAGTGCTCTCGGGCATGCTGAATATTGCCCGGACTTTCAAGGTGGCAGTTTGACTTCCTGTTAGAAGGAGGACCGTAGACACAACGGAAAAGCTTTTTAGGATTCGTTAATGTACATTTATTTTTTTACTCCATGGCTCACAGGTTACGGTTTTCGCCCTGTGCTACCTGATTAGAATGTAGCATTCAGTTGATTTCTCTGCGACATAATAATAATAATAATAATAATAATAATAATAATAATAACAAGACAGAAACATTGCACTGAAGGAAACTGAAAAAAAAAAAGCAAGTACAAAGACCTAGAACTAGAAATACAGAGAATGTGGCATATTATGAAAACCATAGTGATCCCTGTGGTTGTTGGTCCGCTTGGTACAGTGAAGAAGGGTATGGTAGAAAACAACAAGAAAGGATCAGAGAGAGCTACTATGACAGAGATTCAAAAGATCTGCATGCTGGGATCGGCGCAAATCCTTATAAAGGTGTTCAGTGTATGAACAGAATGATTGACTAAAGTGACTGACGCTCCAGGTGCACAGTTTGCGCCTGGCTGATACACAAAAAGAACACCAGCAAAGACTGTGATAAAGGAGAGAATAATAATAATAATAATAATAATAACGATTAAGACAACAAAAAATCTTCCTCTAACCTGTTCAGCTACAGTAGCTGGAGAAACCAAGCCACCAGTTTTGGGAGGCTTTGAAATAATAAACTTCCCATCTGCAGCACACTCAGCTATGGGATAACCAATAATGTCCCTAAAGAAATATAGTTAACCCACTCAGATTGGTACACAGGATGTACACAAAATGAAGTGTACAGGAATTATGTAAAATGATAAAAAAAATATTCGTGAGCCTCTGTAAAGATAAATTGGTCTACCACAGGCCATTCTCCAGATACAAATGTAATAGACTATGAAAACAATTAAGTTCCACTGACTCGCAGTTCCTTTACCAGGTCCTTGGCTGAATTACAAATAGGAAACTCTCTGTTTCTTATAAGTAAGAAATGGGCAGAGGAAAAAAGTTAATCCCACACAAATTTTTTTTCTTGTTATACATTAAATCTCAAAAGCAGTGAAAAAAAAAGACCGATGAAAACCACACACTAGCTTTTTAGCAGACAATTTGAGAGACTTCAGGTTCAGAGTTCACCTTTTGACCCCTAAGAGGGACTCACATCTAATTTCTCCTGACTCAGTGTATCACCCCTGGATCTGATATTACGGGCACGAGAATAAAAGAAAATGATCATCAACTTAACAAGCTCTTGATTGTTAAACAAATTCTCTTTGTCAGCATCTTAGGAAATGTATAGAGAACAGTATGGAGAATATGCCTACTGATATTAGGGTGTAAAGGGTTGAGATTAACCAATTGAGCTAACCGCCTTCTGGTTAGCTCAATTGGTTTGAGTGCTGGATTGTGCTGTGCGGGAGGTGGAGGAATCGAGCCCCAGCCAGACCAATACTCCTGGTCTTAAAATAAGTGAGGAGAATTTGCTACCTTTCTATAATATCAAGAAATGGATAGATATTCTAGTCTTCTTGGATAAGGACGAATAAACTGTATAGGCCCCGTCTCCTGCAGGGTTAGGGGTAGGAGATGTTAATTTCCCACGCACGAGATTACTGTGTGGTGGATGTCCTCCCCTGGGGTGGGATGGGAGGGAAGGTGAGATCGTTACAAGGACTGAAGCGGCTGCCAGAGGCGCCTGATAATGCTGACATCCGATCTCAACCTTATCATTGTAAATAGACACGTTTGTTGTTTAGAGTGCTTAAGACTTTCTCAGATTAAAAGTTTCTACTCAGTACGTGATACAATCAGCAAATGATGAAAGAGACAATTAGTAAAAGATAAAGACAAATGTTCAGACAAAAATAAGCTATCCAAATATAGTTACTGCTGCGACAATCCCAAGAAAAAATAAAATATCAAAACCCAATTTTTACAAAATTCACCATATAAATGTAATTTATAGGTTGAAGTACTTGCCAGTTATGCACAGTCTGCCAGTCAGTGAAGATTCCTCCGGTGCACTGGGCCCCACACTCAATTAAATGACCCACCAAACTAAAAGTTATTAGAATTAGTAAATATATAATATGAACTATTTGCTGGGCAGGAGGCCCTCTTATATATGGGAAAAAACTGTGCCTGAAGTCTTAGGGTCTTTCAGCCAAAGGCTGAAGTCTAACTATGACATTTTTGCTTTTCTACCATCACTGCAAATGGCATGGAAAAAATTCCAAACTGTTGACCATATTATAAAGAGTCAGACCAGCTCTGAGCATGTGATTAGCTAATCAGATTTGACAATTCAAGATTCTGGCCCTCTGAGTGCGTCAGGAAAAAATCGTATGCATTGTCATTATCTAAAACTTAACACCTTAGTCAAGCAAAATATTATGAGAATTCAAAGCCAATAAGGCTGGCTCTCCATTCACACCAAAACTTAAACAGGTTTTAAACATGGTTAAATTATTTTTTTCATTTAGTGTAAGTACAAGTTCCTTAAAATGTAGACTTCAAGTGTATCACATTGAAAATACAATTTAGCGTAACTTGAATCCTATGGGAAATTCAGTTTTTCAGGATTCTGTTTCTGATTTCCATTCAGCTAATCCAATTTAATTAAACATATATTGCTGAGTAGGTGTGAATTCTGTCTTGGTTGCAAGTATATTGAACCTCATGCTAAATTCATCCTTCATAACCAGATCATATATAAATAATAATTTAAGTTTATAGTCATACATCATTTTCATAGATCTAACCTTCCAGATGCGAGTAAATCATAATCATTTGGCTTCCATCCAAACTACAAAAGATGATACTGATTTTATTTGGAGGGATCAGGGCTTGATGCTAATGGTAGCCCACTAGCCATAGACTAGGAAAAATTCAGTTTTGGCTGGTGGTTTTCAATTTCCACAAGGCAGTTTGGCTAGTAAACAAACTGAAATTGTTGTAACATCTCAGTTGTCATCTGAGCCACTTGGCTAGTAAGTTGAAAAGTTAGTGTCAGGCCTTGGGGATGTTGTGATGCAATACATTCTAAATACAGTAGAACCCCCACTAACTCAAACTCCCAAGGGAAACAAAAAATGGTTCAAGTTAGTGGGAGTTCAAGTTAGCTGATAGTAAATGACTGAAAAAAATGTGGTCAGGAGAAATCAGATCCTGTTTGAATTAGCACAGTTCTACTGTAGCATTGTCAACACAATAACAAGCACGCAATTTTGTGATCAAGTANGACCAATACTCCTGGTCTTAAAATAAGTGAGGAGAATTTGCTACCTTTCTATAATATCAAGAAATGGATAGATATTCTAGTCTTCTTGGATAAGGACGAATAAACTGTATAGGCCCCGTCTCCTGCAGGGTTAGGGGTAGGAGATGTTAATTTCCCACGCACGAGATTACTGTGTGGTGGATGTCCTCCCCTGGGGTGGGATGGGAGGGAAGGTGAGATCATTACAAGGACTGAAGCGGCTGCCAGAGGCGCCTGATAATGCTGACGTCCGATCTCAACCTTATCATTGTAAATAGACACGTTTGTTGTTTAGAGTGCTTAAGACTTTCTCAGATTAAAAGTTTCTACTCAGTACGTGATACAATCAGCAAATGATGAAAGAGACAATTAGTAAAAGATAAAGACAAATGTTCAGACAAAAATAAGCTATCCAAATATAGTTACTGCTGCGACAATCCCAAGAAAAAATAAAATATCAAAACCCAATTTTTACAAAATTCACCATATAAATGTAATTTATAGGTTGAAGTACTTGCCAGTTATGCACAGTCTGCCAGTCAGTGAAGATTCCTCCGGTGCACTGGGCCCCACACTCAATTAAATGACCCACCAAACTAAAAGTTATTAGAATTAGTAAATATATAATATGAACTATTTGCTGGGCAGGAGGCCCTCTTATATATGGGAAAAAACTGTGCCTGAAGTCTTAGGGTCTTTCAGCCAAAGGCTGAAGTCTAACTATGACATTTTTGCTTTTCTACCATCACTGCAAATGGCATGGAAAAAATTCCAAACTGTTGACCATATTATAAAGAGTCAGACCAGCTCTGAGCATGTGATTAGCTAATCAGATTTGACAATTCAAGATTCTGGCCCTCTGAGTGCGTCAGGAAAAAATCGTATGCATTGTCATTATCTAAAACTTAACACCTTAGTCAAGCAAAATATTATGAGAATTCAAAGCCAATAAGGCTGGCTCTCCATTCACACCAAAACTTAAACAGGTTTTAAACATGGTTAAATTATTTTTTTCATTTAGTGTAAGTACAAGTTCCTTAAAATGTAGACTTCAAGTGTATCACATTGAAAATACAATTTAGCGTAACTTGAATCCTATGGGAAATTCAGTTTTTCAGGATTCTGTTTCTGATTTCCATTCAGCTAATCCAATTTAATTAAACATATATTGCTGAGTAGGTGTGAATTCTGTCTTGGTTGCAAGTATATTGAACCTCATGCTAAATTCATCCTTCATAACCAGATCATATATAAATAATAATTTAAGTTTATAGTCATACATCATTTTCATAGATCTAACCTTCCAGATGCGAGTAAATCATAATCATTTGGCTTCCATCCAAACTACAAAAGATGATACTGATTTTATTTGGAGGGATCAGGGCTTGATGCTAATGGTAGCCCACTAGCCATAGACTAGGAAAAATTCAGTTTTGGCTGGTGGTTTTCAATTTCCACAAGGCAGTTTGGCTAGTAAACAAACTGAAATTGTTGTAACATCTCAGTTGTCATCTGAGCCACTTGGCTAGTAAGTTGAAAAGTTAGTGTCAGGCCTTGGGGATGTTGTGATGCAATACATTCTAAATACAGTAGAACCCCCACTAACTCAAACTCCCAAGGGAAACAAAAAATGGTTCAAGTTAGTGGGAGTTCAAGTTAGCTGATAGTAAATGACTGAAAAAAATGTGGTCAGGAGAAATCAGATCCTGTTTGAATTAGCACAGTTCTACTGTAGCATTGTCAACACAATAACAAGCACGCAATTTTGTGATCAAGTAAAGAGAACAAAATAAGCAAAATTTATGGATTTGTACCAAAAACTTAAGATTAATTCATTCACCTTAGCAATGTAAAATTCATATTTTTAGCTGAACTTTTATATTCACACAAGATACACATTTGATAAGCCAGGGATGTACCTCATAGATAAGAGGTCCAAGAGCCAAAGCACTGTCAACACATCGTCCAGTCACAACTACATCGGCACCAAGCTCCAAAGCCCTGGCAATGGGAAGGGCTCTACAAATTAAACAAAGAGGGAAATTAAAATGGCTTTTTCCAAGGACAAGAAAAAATTAATGTACTAATAATGTCAGTTAGTTAAACATAATTATAATATTATTTATTAATAATAATTGTATTTCACTTTGGCAAGGGGGGCTCCATGACTTTACCCTTTGATGCTTTTTAAAAGAGTGACCAGCATCTACTTTCTCCTTACAATATCACCCCTGAATCACACATAAAGGTCACAAGAATAAAGGAAATGATCATTATTGATAGCACTGTATGCAACCTTTGATCCTTCAGGGTAAATAGCATCAAATTCTTTCTTACGATTTCCCCCCTGAATCGCACATTAAGGTCACGAGAGTAAAGGAAACGACCATCAACTAAACAAGCTGAAACTCAAATTCTCCTTTTCAGCACCGAAGGAAGTGTATAGAGAACAGTATGGACAATATGTATGCTGCTGTGGAACATCATTTATGAATCTTTCATGTAAGTATACTTGTTATGCTTGTAGCTAACTCTCAGGACTGCTCAGACTTTGCTTGCTAATTTATAATTTATTATTAGTCTGTTAGAACAAGCTTAATCATATACTTATATCAAGGCTGTACTCTAGGAAAAATTGAAGTGAGCCCAGTGCTCTGAAACTGTGAAATCCAGGGTGCTCAGCATATGCTTTTTATAAAAAAAACTAAGATTCCTGAGTCGCCCAAGAGCAAAAGTAAGACGCCAGGGGCCACCGGGCGCCACTAGACCACAGCCCTGTTATATCAGTTCTACTTATTTCTAGGACTTCTACATACAAGAATGCTGTTTCTTCACTGATAATAGTGATGAGGGCCTTATACGGGTCACAACATCTTACAAATATGAGTAGCCACTATTTCTTACCCTATATACGCATTCATGCTGACAACACTGCCTGGGAAGTCTTGACCACTTGTCATCTCTTTAATGCCAGTCTGCCTTATTTGTTCAATGTCCCCCATAAGATCATCTCCAGTGACCACGGCAACTTTCAAGTCAGTTACACCTTTTTCTTTTGCAGCAGCAATCAAAGCTTTGGCACACTCATGTGGATTGATTCCGCCTGCATTGCTAACCAAACGAATACCTGTACGTCAAATAAGAAATCTGAATTGTGACCTTGTTCAAGGCTTCATTTTGAGAAAAATAGACAGTCTGAGACTGAGTATGGCTTCTGGTATTGCACAATTTTTATAGCATTGAAAAAAAAATAAAGGCTTTTATGATGAAACTAATAGGTAGTGTTATAAATATAATTAATAATTTAAAGAGATTAATTAAAAATTTAAAGAAGCTAGCTCAAAAGCCTCATAGTTCCCCTATCCACTTGGGTTCCAACAACGATTGCTTATTCTTCTTTTAATTTTGCCTGTTAATTATTAATAGAATATCCAGTTGTTGAGCCATATGAAGTCTTTCATTCTATACCATTCAATATAAGTGTGATCATTGTTTGACAATGTTGGTACCTGGTCACTCATACCAATCAATATAAGGCACATCATTGTTTGACAATGTTGCTACCTGGTCACTCATACCAATCAATATAAGTGTGATCATTGTTTGACAATGTTGGTACCTAGTCACTCACACCTTTTTCTTTGATTTTTTTGATAAGTGGTGTTATCACAGCAAGTATGAAGTCAGGTGCATACCCCATGGTCTGAAAAAAAAAAATCATCGCTTCCATTCTTTATTATTTACTGGTATACAGTTAAAAAGAATAAAACCGTAATGTATTTAGTATGGGCCCCCTGTGCCTGTATGACCACAAGGTCTTCTGGATCCACATGGAATAAAAAATTAGTGAGCCATCTTGCCTGGCGAAATCAAATCTGTGTTGTTTACTGGGGTTTCGGGTTGAATATACTGCAAAAACAAAACCTGCGTATAAGATATACCTACCTACCTGTCCCCTAACTTAACACTAATCCTAACTTGTTATCAGTTGACTGTTAAGTTGTTGGGTTTGGGGGAAGGGGGTTGGCAAGCAGTTGCTCAGATACTGAAATCAATCCCAAGAAATCAACAGTATCCCCCCCATACACAGGGAACACAGAGGAATTAAATTTATCATACACATTGTAAGTATATTGTAAAAATAGTACTCTAAGATTATATTCATCTATTGCAATTTTTAGTTGGTTTAAATTTTGTTACCCCTTGTTTTAGAGCATGTTTGTGAATGATAATCCAAGTACCAGTAAAATAAAGAATAGTGCATTTAAAATCATGGATGAAACTAAACAAGAACATATACAGTGAGCTTACCGGAGTTCTTCTCTTAGCTTCAGTAAGAAGAGACATTGTGATTTCCGACAAGTAATCAGACACAAGATAATCTATATTACCCTCAGAAACAAGCAGGGGTGCTACAGAGAAAATGAAAAAATACTGTAAGTAAAATTACTAGCCAAGGATGATGTGCAATCTAGATTAGATTTTAAGCACGTCCTATCCATGTGATGGCTTTGTCTCCAATGTTTCTGAATCAAATTGTAATAACTGATAGAAGTCAAGGATCTCTTGCAGTACCAGAGCTGTGATTTAGACAGAGGCAAGAACACCCCTCAGTATTCTCAGACTCCTTACGGGTGTTACGAAAACAAAGACCCTCAAAAACCAAGACCTAAGACCTAAGACCTAAGATCTGGTCTTCGTTTTCATAGTACGAAAAGGAAGACCACCGGTCTTAGTTTTTGTAGTACAAAAAGGAATGAAGACTCTGTAAGCAGAAAAATGCTGAAATTACAAGTTAAACACACATTAACCCTTTCACTTCCATGAGTGACCAAGACAGAATTTATCCTCACAATGCCAATGCAAAATCAAGAAGACCAATGATGAGAATAAAGACAAATATCCACCCGTGGATTATTAGTTGATCAGATACCAAGTTCTCATAAGGAATATCATAAGAATTCTATCACAGACAGTAGAGAGAATTACTAATAAGATCAGCAACAACGCTTAGTAATAAAATATAATACATAACACTTCATACATTTCTTCCCATTGTTATACTGACAGTAATACTGGCCCATCTTGTCTGTTCTGTTTTGCTATGCGAGCCAATTTGGTGTTGATATTCTCAGGGTTTCCTCGGGTAAACTTACCATGCATATCATTCTGGAACAGGAGGCAGAATTCGAACGCTAGCCTTTGATTTATAGGTAGCATTGCATGACAGAATAACAAAGAACGCATTCTGTTCAGAAAATGACTCTTGGGTTCTGTCGATAAATATTCTATGTCTACTGAAGGCATAGATTATTTATTGAAGACCCCTCGTCTTTGTTTTCATGGTAACAGAAAACGAAGACCCCAGGTCTTCATTTTCGTACTACGAAAATGAAGACTCATTCAAAAAGCCTGAATAAAGCCTGCTTAACCTTAGTGAGGCCCTAAAATATTTCGATTGCTCCTTCGACGGGGATGTCTGTTCCAAACTTGGATTCATTGCATAGAAAAACAAATCCAAGTGCCGAAAGCAGTTGTGGCTGAAGAAAGAACAAGAAAAACCACACGGAACTGTCTTAACATATCAAAAGCTGAAATAACAATTACTAGAGCTCAGGGTACGTCTACAATCATACTTTCAAAGCATTTTCTGCCTTTAATAAAGGGTCTTCATTTTCGTACTATGAAAATGAAGACCCTGCATTAGCCAAAAGAATTACCTACTTTTTCACAAGAATTTTCCAGCAGAGAAGGCTTAACGACCGTCAGAATCTATTTTAGCTATGAAATACAGTAGACAGATTATTTATTGACAGAACCCAAGAGTCATTTCCTGTACAGAACACGTTCTTTGTTATTCTGTCACGCAATGCTAACTATAAATCAAAGGCAGCTAGCATTCGAATTCTGCCTGTCGTTCCAGAATAATAATTTTTATGTGTGGTAAGTTTACCCGAGGAAACCCTCGAGAATATCAACACCAAATTGGCTCGCATAGCAAGACAGAACAGACAAGACAGGCCAGTAGTACTAGCAGTATAATAATAGGAAGAAACGCATGAAGTGTTATGTATTATATTACTAAGTGTTGTTGCTGTTTAATGTGTGTTTAACTTGTAATTTCTATGGTTTTCTGTTTACAAGGTCTTCATTTTCATACTACAAAAACTAAGACACGGGTCTTAGGCCTTAGGTCTTCATTTTTGAAGGTCTTCGTTTTCGTAACACCCGACTCCTTACTTATTCAGAGAAGGAGTGTCGGGGCATGCAAAAGAGATGCAAGAATCTGAAGGGTCTTCTGTGAGCACAGCCCTCAGTTTAGCCACTTACAGTAAAACTTAAACGTTCATATTCCTTAGGAAAGAACTTAATTCTTCCCAGACCTTTGTGGTGTACCTGGCTAATGATCACTTTGTTTGTATGTTTAATTGACCCAGTTGTTTCTTTACCACCCTTTGGCTATCTTCGAGCCCACAAGGGCTTCTCGAATAGTATGGCAAGGGCAGGGGATAATTATACTTCTCTAGTAACAAACTACTACTCAAAATTTATGAAGCAAGCTGTATGGTTCTCAATAAACAAACAGCAAGACCCTAGTAAAATATCACCTCTCGCACAAGCAAACTCAGTAAGTAATAATGATTTGTTACATCAATGTTTACTCAAGCAATCTACCATCTCGTTACACCAACTCCCACCAAAAAAACATTACCACAAGTAGGCAAAAGCAGAATAAAATTTGTAGCAAGAAAAAGCTGGGCATACTTGCGTAGACTCTCACGCAGACGCCGTGCTTCTGCCGCGCCGTGCTTTTGTCGAACTTAATTTCAGAATTGAGTTCGACACGGCAGGAGCACGACGTCTGATCACAAACTGGTGGTTTTTTTTTTTTTTACCTGCCGTAATTGAATCTCCCCAAAATCCAGAAGCACAGCCTATACGAACTGTCTTTCCTTGCAAAGGGTTAGACATAAACCTTTTCTGTTGCCATCTTGGAGAACGTACCGAAGCCAGAACAACAGGGTAACATTTCTCCCGCGATAGGGCGCCATAAATATTCGTTATAATGCTACTGCCTCTCAAAGACCGAGCTAAAACAGCCATTTTTAAGTGTATTTTATAAATAGTATTCGAACAAAACTACATAATCGTGAGAAAAATGATCTAAAGAAGCTAAAGGTCAAAATCGACTAGAGGTCCCACATCTTGGATTGTGAAGGCATGGCTACATTTCAAATAGGCGAGGATACAAAGCTGACCTTGCGCAAAGGAAAGGAAGACAATTTTCACCAAAATGGCCGAAGCCGAGGGTATGGAAGTCGATTCTCCAGCAGTTCCATCGACATCTTCGGGTTCCAACAAGAAAAGATTCGAAGTCAAAAAAGTGAATAAATTTCCTGATTCTTATTTTTAGTCTAATTGGTTTCTGTGAACATTTTGTAGGTTAAAACTGATGCTTTCTTTCTTTCTTTCTATCTCTTTTAGTGGAATGCTGTTGCTCTATGGGCTTGGGGTACGTTTGACAGTTTTTTCTACGAAAATCCTAAGAATCGATTTAATTGTTGCTCAGAAAAAAATCTTGTTTAATTTTTCAGATATTGTGGTCGATAACTGTGCCATCTGTAGAAACCACATTATGGATTTATGTAAGTCGCAGTGAAACACCTACAATTAAAACGATTATGTAGTTTATTGTAATTGTTGTTGAATGCTAATAATCAGTCTGTCAGGATAATTTTAAGGGCACAACTTGTGTCTTTTATTCTTTTATTGATTGTTTTCTATCTATATTCAGTCGAACACTTTAAATACCTTGACTGCATTTGTCATGGTTCCGAAGAATTTAGATGCAACTGTGCCAAAATGGCAATTTTGACCGCTTTACTACAGCAGTATTAATGCAAGAAGATTACTCTTTGTATAATCGACACAGTTTTTTGTATTTTTTTTCTCTAGATGATTGTTTAAATAAGTAAGGGAAAGAGTACCATATAACCCCATACATTAATTATGCATTCCACTTCTCTGTCTTTCACAACAAAACTTTAAAAACAAAGTCTACCAGTCTGAATGTATAATTAATGTATGGGGTTATATGGTACTCTTGCCTAAGTAAGGGCAACACAGTCTAGCTATTGAATGGCAAGCTATAAGGACCCAGAAAATTAAGGTTGAGATACTTTGAAGGTACAATTTATGATATGCTGTACCTGTATTAATTAGCAACATTGCTTGGACTTGTGCCCCCATGCTGACATGTTGATTGCCTTCATTCGCTTATGTTTCAGGTATAGAATGCCAAGCAAACCAGGCTTCTGCTACTAGTGAAGAGTGCACAGTTGCTTGGGGTGTTTGTAATGTAAGTGCAGTGATGCACACTGTGTACATTGTATTGCACTTGTATTCACCCACTAACAAAATAATGGTAAACACCACAGTGTACACTATTGAGTTATGCACGTGGGAAGTTATTAAGCATGAAAAAATTGTAAGAGTTGCATGAGGCAATAGCTGAGAGCTATTCTAGCTTCTTGAGTGCTTAGCAAACTTCCCAAGTGCATCCATAACTCAATAGTGTACACTGTGGCGTTTACCATTTGTTTTATAACATAACAGATACATTGTAGCAAAAGAGTTTTCTTTTATTTAACAAATCTTACATGACCAGAAAAAACAAGTGCACATGAAAAACTAGTCTTTGCATTTGCTCACGTCAGCAGCAGACACCCATGGGCATGTGATGGACACTGAATTGACTGATCAGAGCATGTGCTTTACTTTGGTTTGTTATAATCACCTAGGGGGAATGATGGGGTGACCACTCAATACCGATTAACCAATTAATGCAAGTTCCACGGGATACAGTCATAATAAGAAATAATATAAAACACTATTGTTTGAAGACCTGTACAGGAATACCTTTGGTGCTCAAAAAGGTCTCTTCCAAGATTTTTTTCACAAATGTTGTCTTCCTATCTATAGCAAATGCCTCCTTTCACCTTAAAGTACGCAGTCTCCTTACATTTGATTGGGTTTAATTTCATGAAATGGCCTTGTGAGGATCAATTACAGTGAACATTTCTGTCGTGGGCAGCCAAAATCTTAGCTATCATAGCTGGCTCTCTTGTCATAGAACTCCTTCCTTAACAGCACTCACCTCTACAAGACAAAAACTTCCTTATTCCAATATTTGATGCATACACCTAGAGCTTGTCTAGAGGTTTAATCCCAAGAATGGTTTTGAAGCTGACTTCAATCACAAAATGATGAAATAGGGTGCAGAAAACAAGACCCAAAAAATAACCAAGGCACCAGTGCCATTTTAATCTGCTTCTTGAAATTTTTCTGCAGCATGCTTTCCACTTCCACTGTATCTCCCGTTGGTTAAAGACTCGTCAAGTCTGTCCACTGGACAACAGGGAGTGGGAATTCCAAAAGTGAGTAAACTGAAATAAAATCCTTTTTTCTTTTATGATGTCATTTAAGTCTTTTCTGGGATGCTTATACTCTGCTAAGATGAAAGGGAAGATCTCATCAGTAACTCTCCCTACTCTTTGCCATAAAATTCATATGATGTTAGTTTGGAGAATTTGGTCTTGGAATCAACTAGGAATACCCTAATTGATATTTTTCTTTATTCTCAGTACTTTTCTGCTTGATATTGTATTGATATTGTAAGGAGAAATTCTGTCTTGGTCACTCATGGGAGTTAAAGGATTAAGTGGTAGTTTCTTGTCACGATGAATCGTGGAACTAATTCAGTGATGTTGTGCCTGTGGTTGCATTGAAGCCTTAAATGAAGTTGGCCTCGGTGTTAGAAAAAAACTTTCAAAGGCAAAAAAATCTGAAATTATTCAACGAATTTTATTCCCCGCTCAACAAACATGGATCTATGTTTTAAAAGCACTTAACTTTATTTCATCCTTTAGCCCTTTAGCTCCCAAAAGTGATTAACATGTAACTTCTCCCTATAATATCCATACATTATCCAGCAAACTGGTAATGAGAATACTCAAACTAATCAGGTGGAAGTTGTCCTCACAGTTTCTTCGTTCATCCTCACAGTTTTTTCTGTTAGTTCCCAGAGTCAACTGCTCTACATTTGGGGGTCGTGCTTTCACCCACGCTGCACCAGTTCTATGGAACTCTTTACCGCTGACTAAGATCTAGTAGCTGTATTTTTGTGTTTAAAAAAAGACTGTAGACTTTTCTTTTTAAAAAGGCTTTTAATTTGTGACTTTTGGTCTATTTGATATAATTATATTCTTATTGTACAGCGCTTTTGAATATTGACCTATAGTTGAAGCACTCTATAAACATATTATTATTATTATTATTATTACTATTACTATTATTAACACCGAATTTTTGTAACTTATTAATAAGGAAATGTTTAGCAAACAGAGGTGAGAATTAGCAATCTGATCTTGAGCATTCCTTGTGATTTCAATACATCATTCAGCCAACAGTTGATGAGAAAAGATGGGTTTATCAGCAGGAAGGTGTTATCTTGATATAACACCAAAGTCTCCTAACTGATTTACAAGGAATGAAAAGCAATCAGAAGGGAGAGTTATTCATCCAGTCATTATTAAAGTACTGTAAAAAAAAAAAAACAGATAAGCTGCACCCACAGATAAGCCGTACCCCAAATTTAGCAGCTCAAATTTTTGAAAAAAGAGTTTTTTGAGGGAAATCAATAGAAATCCAAAGTCAAGTCTTGAGAAGTCTTCTTCATCCACTGCTCATTGAACATAAACTCATCATTAACATTGCAACAGAAAATACTTCAGTGTTACCCACAATTTTAGCACTTTAGTATAATGAACATCGTTTCTACCAACTTTGGCATCTGATTGGTCTTTTTCTGGTATTTGTTAACAGGAATTTCTCATTCAACACAGTTTTTCTATAGATTTTTGCATTACAACAAGAATGTGAGCAGAACATTTGAAGCTTAGTAACCAAGCATTAGACCAGACGCGAAAATGGACATTCACGACACCTTTTTCGAATGTTCCCGCAGATAAGCCGCACCCCCAATTTCTAGCGACGATTTTTGGAAAAAAAGTGCAGCTTATCCGTGGGCTTTTATGGTACTTATTTTGTTAATTCTTTGAAACAAAAATGAAGTTATTTGCTTTGTTCTTGTGTTTTTAGGTATGGTCGGTAAAGGTGGAGCTGCCTCCTCTGTTACTGGTGGCCTTGCTGCCTTGCAAGAAGCTTTCAACTTTTTGTAAAAAGTTACCAGGACAATTTTTTTTTGAAACTTGTAAAAATGAATCTAATTTCTGCTAGGTTTGTTTTTCATTGTGTCCCTTTTCAGTTATCAAAATAAAACCTTTTCTCTTTAACACTTTCTTGTTTGTTACATTATTGAATGGTTCTTAATTCGCTGGAAAGAGGTTTTGTCTCTCTTGGTGTGAAAGTACACTTGAAGTACCTTCATTTTCTACTTCCTACAACAACAGATTTCAGTAACATTGTCCTCAGTACATAATGAGTTAGAGTATAAAAAAATTAGAGATTCTCCCAAAAAGACAGGATTCTTACTGCAATCAAAATGTGTTATACTTGATAATGACTCAAAACATCTCACAACATGATTGACATAAACAGATATGCTAACCATCTGCCCACAAGGTGAGCCTTGCCAAGGTCAGAAAAACAACATTTATCAAATAACACGACAGAAACATAGGCAATTTTTTGGTCAGAAGTTCCTTTCAGACTAATGACGAACCAGGCACTTTTAAATGCGCTCGTGCACGATGCAAAACGTGTCCTTTCATTCGCAACACTGATAAAATATCGGGACCTAAACGATCCATTAAGATCACCGATCACTTCACATGCACCTCCGCCAATGTAATCTATTGCATAACTTGCACTTTGCAAAAAGATATACATCGGCGAAACAGGCAGAGGACTAGGTGACAAATTCCGAGAACACCTTCGAGACGTGGAAAGGAATGACAAGGACACATCGAAACCAGTCGTNTAGATACGTATGATGCACGATCCTCGCAGTAGAGAGCGCTATTTATGCAATAGCGAAAATCAGACCTGAAAAAAATCAGGCCTGTACGGGATTCGAACCACTGACCTCTGCGATACTAGTGCAGCGCTCTACCAATTGAGCTAACAAGCCAACTGGGAGCAGGCCGTTAAGTTGATTCGTAATAAACCCGTGATGATAAATCAGATACAATGAATATATGAGGTTCATATATTTTGAACTGCGGTTGTAGATAAGTATGATGCACGATCCTCGCAGTAGAGAGCGCTATTGCATAAATAGCGCTCTCTACTGAGAGGATCGTGCATCATACTTATCTACAACCGCAGTTCAAAATATATGAACCTCATATATTCATTGTATCTGATTTATCATCACGGGTTTATTACGAATCAACTTAACGGCCTGCTCCCAGTTGGCTTGTTAGCTCAATTGGTAGAGCGCTGCACTAGTATCGCTGAGGTCAGTGGTTCGAATCCCGTACAGGCCTGATTTTTTTCAGGTCTGATTTTCGCTATTGCATAAATAGCGCTCTCTACTGCGAGGATCATGCATCATACTCATTTCAACTTTGTTTGTATATCCAATTTATCAAATATGTCTCCTTTGAATTAAATTGTTAAATTCACATTCAGCTATAGAGCATTCACGTCGCTCCATTGTTAAGGACGGTATAACTAGACAGTAACTTGCTCTTTCAGGAGAAGGAAAAATGACCATAGAGCGAAGGAGGCATAGCAGCTCTTTTACATCTCTTTCACGTCAATGAACATGATGAATGTCTGCGGAGAAGACACCAGTCTTGGCATGGTGACATGGGAGTCATAAGTTTAGAGGGTTTGGGTAAAAAAAAAAAAAAAAGGGAGGTGGCTGACGCGGAGTAAGATAGTTCCGCGCGGCGCACGAACGTTTTCCTTTCCGCTTTTTTTTTTTTTTCTTTTCTTGATGAATTCTTTGTCTCGCACGGCAGATTTTGACGAAAAGGAGGAACTTCTTGTAATCTAGAGTAGAGAAAGAAACATGTGCTTTTAATCAGAAACATGAGGATCAAAATATGAAAATGAAGTTGGGTGCAAAAGCAAAATATATCATTTAACGAAATATACTTTGTAATTTGATATGACCGATGTGGAGGTTTTTTTGTCTTTTTTTTTTTAATTGCCACTTCTTCAGAAAATATATCGTGATGCCGTACAGCCACCAATTTCGCTGCACTTTTGTACCGGTCCGAGACCAAGAAACTTAGTTTATTGCATATATAAGAAACTTAGTTTATTACATATATATATTTAGTATAATTTCAGAGCTGAGCAAAGAGTTTCCAGCAATCTGATTTGTCGAGCGGTTCCTTATATGACGCAATATAAACCGCTCCACGCGGTTTATATAAAATGCTAAAATAAAATGTTAATAAATGTTACTAAAATGTTATGATTTTAGAAATTTCTCTGTTGTTCAGCTCTGAAATTATACTAAAACAATTATTCGCCTAGATTCGGTGAATATTGTCGAATAATCGACGATATTCACCTATATAAAACCTAATTACCTATTTAAGTGGTTGTTACGCGACCGATTAAAACGATCGAAATGTAAACTTGCCAACTTTCAAAATTCGTAACCTTTGAATATTCAGAAAGTCTGTTGCTTTATTCGTGGCAGCAATATAAAACCTATTATGTTGCTCAACATTTAGTGTCCATTTCCGTGAAGCAACTGAGGCTTTCTGGGTTCCTCGGCTTTCTTGATGACTTAGCGCACGCCTCGAAGGTGGAGGTGTACAGAAAGAAAAACCGGTTTGTTTCAATTTTTTTATGTCTACACAATTTTTCCTTTAGCTCTTTCGAGAAATTTAGATGGTTATTTTCTTTATTCGAAAAACACGGACTTAAGACATGATAAGGCAAACAAACCAAAATTTGTCTGAATTCACAGGCTACCAACCCTCGACTCCTGTTTTCCGGTTATTCCTTAGGTTTGTAAGAATTATTTAAAACCTTAGATTGTAGAGAAACTCTCACAACAGAAGTGGTAGTAGTTTAACATCGCCAATTTCAAAAGAAACAGTTCTCGTAACACTTAACGGCTTCTCGCTTTGAGGAAGTAGGAGGCCGGAGCGGGGGAGGGGAGGGGGGTGTGCAACTTATTTCCTCCAACGACGTTAAGTCACTCAATTTTAGGTTGGGAGTCACTCAGAGGGGAGTAATAGTAATCATAGCTTAATGTCTTTACGTGGGGCATGGTTATACCGGTTACCCATATTTCCCGAGCCAGAGACTCATGAATGAAACGCAAGACAACAACCCACCAATCCCACCCCAGGGGAGGACATCCATCACACAGTAATCTCGTGTGTGGGAAATTAACGTCTCCTACCCCTAACCCTGCAGGACACGGGACCTCCATTTATTCGTCCCTATCCGAGAAGACTAGAATATCTAAACCATTTATTGATGTTGTAGAAAGGAAGCATATTCTTCTCAATTATTTTAAGACCTTGAGTGTTGGTCCGGCCGGGGCTCGAGCCCTCGACCTCCCGCACATCAGTCCAGCGCTCTATCCATTGAGCTAACCGGGAGGCGGTAACGAACATTTGTCTGGTACCGAGTAACTTTACACTCTAACCCCCCTCCCCTCCTCCCTCCTCTCCCCTCCTCCCTCCTCTCCCCTCCCCCCCACACACACATACCCCACAAGCGCCATCCAGCTTTTTATTTTTGCCTCGTATCTGTGAGAAAATCAAGAGTGATATATGCATATGAAAGCGAAAAATTATGCGTTTGAATAATGAATAAATAACACTCATCTGGCATGTGCTGCGAATGCCTTCCAGTATGATTAGTTTGCAGCACGAATTTCCTTAATTTAACTGCAAATTTCAAAAACCTTTTTCCCTCATTGACACAGTGTTTGAATGTTTTCTCATCCAAGCCTTTCGAAAAACTTTGTAATCCAACTGAAAATACTATCGAACGAAGTTGTAATTTTGCGCATGCGCACGTTTTTAAAGCAATTTCTTTGTACAGCTTATAGGTTTATTGCATTAATTCTCCATGCTTAGTGCCTTAGTAGCCTTTATTTTTAATTTTTTAAAATTTTTTTATACCTTTGACGCTAAAGTAATTGTTATGTGGTTTGCACTCCCACAAAGGCTGCGTGAAGTAAGGTTATATATATCCCCTTTGATCCTATCGGTGATAGAGGATGATCCGCGTGGATAAGGTCGGTGTCGCCATGGCGACCCAAATTTTTGAGCTGGGACCTACATGGTCCCTCCATCTTGGCAACGCAATGACTAACTGACAACTTGACAATCAAACACAATACATTTTATGATTTTCATCTCTACAATGTGTCCATAGTTCCATAAAAATGAGTCAGTTGAGACAAATTTTACTAAGAGTTTAGCCGCTGAATGGTAGCAAATTTTCCGATGATAGTATACAATAAGAGCAACAGAAAATCAAACATAATGAACGGCGCAAGTCATATCAACCCCTCTTACTCACATAAATGACCAAAACCATATAATACAAAAAAATACGTTACATAACAATAATAATAATTTATTATGATAATTTTTATTTCACAAAATCAGTAAAAATACAGGATAACAAACAAAATTAAAACAAATTAAGGTATAAATATTAAAACAAGTTTAAAAAGTCTCTAGCTGAGAGAAAAGTCTTGAATCTCTTCGGTATTAACAACTGTTCTACAGAGTAGCAGAATTCATCTTATGTCTGCATTATTTTGCTTCAGCTTCATTCAGCAGACCAGCAAATAAATTGGCGATACATGATCGATGTCCTTAATAATAATAATAAGTTTTTCCTTAAAAATATTTCACAAAAAGCAGTTCTCTTAAAAAAAAAGAAAAATTCAGTAAACTAAACTACATAAAAAATTGACTACTTAAATTCTGGCTTGCGCAGTTTCCGATGTAATGTCAGTGTCAGATATATTAGCTACTCTTCTCTTTCTCCTGGTTCCTCTGAGACACAGCAAAGCTGAACGTAGAATGGCAAAGTATATCTTCGCCCTTATCCAACATATAATAATAATAATAATAATAATAATAGTAATAACAATAATAATAACAATAATAATAATAATAATAATAATAGTAATAATAATAAGTGTGACAAGTGACAAGTGTGAATCAGTTATGCACCAAATGCAAAAGGCAATCCTGTCTAGTTCATTACACATCGCCAGAATGTTCACGCTGAGCGTTTAGACATCTTTAGGGATTTTGGACACCCATTTTGACAGAAATTTTATCTTGTACATTTTCGAGATTTTATTACATATCTTAGGGTTCCCATTGGAAAATGGAC